CACACACACACACACACACACACACACACACACAGCACTCCTGCAGACGGACAGAAGGACGAAGCAAGAAGGAAACTGAGGGAAAAGAAGGAAAAGAAAGAAACAGGAAGCAGAAAGGAGCAGGAGACGGAGGTAAAACTTTATATTTTCAGTTTGTTCTGATCGTTCCTTCAAAGTTCTGATCGATTAGAATCTGGTTCTAAAGGTTCTGTGGTCCTTTAGGGTGGTCTTCATCAGAGGGGTTCACCACACAAAGTTTAAACTCAATAAAACATTGAACTGGTTTTACTGTTATTGTTCATCAGGTGAATGGAAACATTATGAAGCTGGTTCTGGTTCTGGTTCTGGTTCTGCAGCTATAAATACTCAGGAGATAAGAAACAATAATCTGGAGCCTGAGCTGTTGGAGTTCTGTAGGTTCTATAACAATTTGTTTGTTTTTATTGTTCTGTTATCTTAAATCAGTTCTGTTAAACTGCAGAAATCCTGAATGTTTCTCTGACATGAAAATCATTTGATTTTTTAAGTTCATCTCAGATTTAGTCTGAATCTGTTTACAAACTAAACATCAACAAAAACAACAAACAGACTGAAGTTTCTGAGTAAAAACAGCTGAGGAATTCAAATAAATCATCCACCCAGGAGCTGGAGCTGCTTTGTTTGCTGAGGTTCCTCAGGTGGTTCTGTTAGCAAAATATCTCATATTTCAGGGTTTTATTTGTGTTAAAACCAACATTTGTAAAAAAAAAAATTAGCTTCTTTTTTTGTAACATTTAGGTGAGAACATCACATTGACCCAATCCATCAGAACCAGACCCCTGCATGTGTTCTGTGACCAGGGGCGGAGCCACAGGGATGGCAAGTACCGTCCCTGGGACCTGATTGGTCATCACCAAATGATTGACATGTGGGGATGGGGATAAAAGATGGTCACTTAGAGCAAAAACAAAATAAATATCTGTCAATCTGCTGTTTTATCTGTGTAGAGGGAACCAATCAGTGTGAAGAAAACAGCTGAATTAATATAAAGCAGAAACTGGGGTCCCAGGACCCCCAGGGGTCCTCAAGAGGGGGTCCTCAAAGAATTTCACTAAATTGTTAATTTGTTTTTGTTTGTTAATGCGTAGGGAACAATGAACTAATAAAACAACCATAATAAATTAAATTAAAATATATATTCCCATGGCATTTAGGGGTTGAATGAGTATGAGAGGGTCCCTGGAAACTTTTCGCCCCTGTAAGGGGTCCTCAGGCCCGAAACATTTGAGAACCCGTGATGTAAAGAAACCAATCCACCAAATTTCAACTCAGTGTTTCTAAAAGATGTCTGAGGTTCAAATATTTGAARTTAGCTTGGGTGGCCATCTTGGATTTTGTGTTTACGTTCAGATTTTGTTAGATTATCCTCGGCTTCTATATAAATTTTGTATTTAATGACTGAATCATAAATTAGCATTAGCGGTTAGCTTAAATCGGGATTAGCAATCAGCTACACTGCACCATATTTCAGCTCAGTTCAGTTTTAAAATGGCTGAATTAAAGCCAATTAAATTTAGCTGTGGTGGTCTTTAAACATGTTYAAGCCAGGATAGTTTCCTTTATATGTGCCCCCTACCCCATATAACACCTTAGCCACCCCTGTGCAGGGTTATTGCAGGAACATCACAAGCTTGGGATTGGGCAAAATAAACAATATAAAAATAATACTGATAAAAACTAAACTAAAACTAAGCATTAAAAATGCAATAATAACTAATAAAAACTAGTAAATCGACTGTAAAAACTAATTAAAACTGACTGAATTAAAAGAAAAAAGTCACAATGAAATAAAACTAAACTATAATAAAAAAATCCTAAATTATAACCTCGCCCCCGTGCCGCCCTTTAGCTCCGCCCCCGTCTGTGGCGGGTTCTGGACGTTCCACCTGTTTTCAGGGAGGATCAGAGAAGCAGCCTCCATGTGACACCAACAACAGCTGCCCCCCCAGTCCAGTCCRTTTCTGGGTACCCCGTAAACCAACCTGGGTTATTTAAGGAGGTCCGGACCGATCATGTACTCAGCTGGGGTCTCCTTTTCCACCAGGCTGGAGGCTTTCAGGCAGCAGACACTCAGATTATCAGCGTTATGAAACAAAAACACTGGATTTWAATCTAATAAAGAGAATATTTGTTAAACTTTGTGTTTTAACTCACATTGTTACTCGAGCTGCAGATGAGCTGCAGGAATAATGTCCCGTCTGGACCGGTTCCAGGTGCTGTGTGCTGTTCTGAACCCCCCGGCTGCAGCTGTGTAACTCAAACCAAACATCATCATCATCACCTGTCGAAGCATGGCGCCCAAGAAGAAGGCCCCGCGTCAGAAAAAGGCCGCCGTCGACTCCATCGCCCAGGTCGCCATGGAGACCGCCTCAGCATCACTGAAGGTGGAGCACCGCGGCGACGGCGTGGTGGTGGTGGAGAGCGGCGTGAAGAAGATCGAGCAGATGGCGGCGCTGGACATCGCCCAGCTGAACAGCCTGAACCTGCCGCTGCCGCCGCCCGTCATCAAGCCCGGGGAGCGAGGCTTCGGCCTGGGCAGCGAGCTGACGAGGCCGCTGCACGGAAACGCCCTGCTGGAGGAGCTGAGCAGGATGCGCCAGGAGAAGTGGGCTTTTAATGATTTTATACTTGTTTTCAGGATTTACAGATTTTACTCTTATCAGATTATCTTTCAGATTATCCATCAGATTACCTGTCATATTACAGGTCAGATTATCTGTCAGATTATCAGATTATTCATCAGATTACCTGTCAGATTATCTGTCAGATTATCAGATTTTTCATCAGATTACCTGTCAGATTATCGGTCAGATTATCAGATTAACTGTCAGATTACAGGTCAGATTTTCTGTCAGATTATTCTTCAGATTATGAGATTATTCATCATATTATCTGTCAGATTACCTGTTAGATTATCTGTTAGATTACCTGTCAGATTATCTGTCAGATCATTCATCAGATTATTCATCAGATTACCTGTCAGAYTAYCTGTCAGATTACCTGTCAGATTATCTATCAGATCATTCATCAGATTATTCATCAGATTACCTGTCAGATTATCTATCAGATCATTCATCAGATTATTCATCAGATTATTCATCAGATTACCTGTCAGATTATCTATCAGATCATTCATCAGATTATTCATCAGATTACCTGTCAGACTATCCGTCAAATTACCTGTCAGATTATCTGTCAGATTATACATCAGATTATCAAATTATTCATCAGTTTATCTGATTATTCATCAGATTATCTGTCAGATTATCTATCAGATTATCCATCATATTACCTGTCAGATTATTCATCAGATTACCTGTCAGATTATTCATCAGATTGTTTATCAGATTATCAGTTTATTCATAACATTATTAATCAGATTATTCATCAATTTAAGAGATTATACATCAGGTTATCTGTCAGATTATCCATCAGATTAAATGTCAGATTATCTATCCGATTATTCATTAGATTATCAGATTACTCATCGGTTTATCAGATTATTCATCAGATTACCTGTCAGATTATCAGTTAGATTATTCATCAGATTATTCATCACATTATCAGATTATTCATCAGATTATCCGTCAGACTATTCATCAGATTATTTCTCAGATTATTCATCAGATTATTTCTCAGATTATTCATCAGATTATCAGATTATCCATCAGATTACCTGTCAGATTATTCATCAGATTATTTATCAGATTATTTATCAGATTATCAGTTTATTCATAATA